TTTCTTTTTTCACCACTTGGGGGGGAGTGCAGTATTCATCCTTGCCTCGTAGGGCGCAAACCACCTGATTGAGAGACTAGATAAAAGGACACTTATGCTGGAAAAAACCATGGCCGCAGCAGCTAAAATGGGGGGTAGCTTAAAATGAATAACAGGATAAAACATCCCACTTGCAAGAGGAAGTATACATAGATTGTAGCCAAAGGCCCAGAAAAAATTGCCGTATACCCGCTTGACCGTGGCGATGGAAAGAGCCCGCAGGTTTAGGATGTCAACTAAGCTATTGCTTATAAGTACCGCGTCTGCAGCCTCAATAGCTATTTGAGTTCCGGCGCCCAGAGCTATGCCAACGTCTGCCTGCGCCAGCGCCGGACTATCATTGATTCCGTCACCAACAAAAATGACACAATCGCCCTCGGATTGAAGTTGTCGGACGATGCTGGCCTTAGTTGTGGGAAGAGCTTCTGCGTGAAGGTTTTCATGTTGGATGCCAACCGCACTTGCCACACGTGCCGCAACACCCTCGTTGTCCCCTGTGACCATGAGCACCCGGAATCCCTGTCGGTGCAAGAAGCGCACGACTCCAGCAGCCTCTTCCTTGGGTTCATCCGCGAGAGCAACCAAAAGCCGCGCGACGCCATTCACGGCTCCGACAACTGTGGTTCTGCCCATGTTGTTCTGCTGCCGCACAGCTTGTTCAATTTCCGGGGGAACATGAATATTACCCTCTCGCATCATGGCAAGATTGCCGACGTGCACCTTGAGTTCGTTATTCTGAGATCTGCAACGAACAACGGCCTCAGTACCAAGACCACCTTTTACTTTAGAAAAAACCACGTCGTACGTGGACTCCGGGCTCGCCAAAAGAATCCCGTTGGCCACAGCCTTCGCCACAGGGTGATTGGAGAGTAGCTCCACGAATCCAACAACTTTCATTACCTCCTCGACGTTGTCGCCCCAGCACTTCTTAAAGACCACCTCTAGCTTTCCAAAGGTAATGGTCCCCGTCTTGTCAAAGACAATGCAGCGCGACTGGCGCACAACCTCAAGCGATTTTCCAGACTTCACCAGAATGCCGTTCTTCGCACCGACACCGGTACCCACCATGATGGCAGTGGGCGTCGCAAGCCCCAGGGCACAGGGACACGCAGCCACAACAGAAGAAATAAAAAAATCAAATGCAAACATCAAAATAGTCTCATTCTGGCCGCGCCACTCTGGCGGATACATGTCAAAAGCTCCTAGAAACAACCAAGTGAAAAATACACCCACTGAAAAAATTACAACAAAAGGCACAAAGTAGGCGGCTATTTGATCGGCAATTCGTTGAATCTCGGGTTTAGTGTTCTGTGCCTCTTGTACAAGGCGCAAAATCTGAGACAACATGGTCTCTTCGCCAATTTTGGTTGCCTCAACTACAAGCATTGCAGTGATGTTTGTTGTTCCGCCAATCACTGCGGAGTCCACCTTCACTGCCTTCGTTATCGCCTCACCTGTCACCATCTGTTCATCCACATCCGACATTCCTTCCACAACAATACCGTCGACTGGAAATCGGTCTCCGGCCAACACACGAACACGCATTCCCTTTTCAAGCAGAGACGAAGGCATTGTAATGTCACCTTGCGCGGTGACAACAATAGAAACGGGCGGCACCAAGTTCATTAAATTGATGAGAGCATCGCTCGTACTGCGCCTCGCGCGCGCCTCCAGAAAACGTCCCAGCAACATAAACGCAAGAAGCATACCTGCAGCATCAAAATAAGTGGCTATTTGGTATTTTGCCACAACCATCACAATAAACGCACCCAGCGAATACAAATAAGAGCAACCAGCCCCAATGGCAACAAGCGTATCCATCGTTAACATTCCGTGCCTCAGACCTCGCCATGCGTGGATGAAAAACACCGAGCCGTAATAAAACACAATCGGTGTCGACAGGCCCATCTGAACAAAATCAAAAAAAATCATCGTTCTGCTGTCATCAAACACATTTGTTGTCGCCATCAACAACATAAGCAACGCCAAAGGCGTTGCCAGCACCGCAGCACCCAAAAAACGCCTCTTCTGCTCTTCAATTTCTCTTGTCCTCTCCAAGGCCGCTTTCGTTTCATTGAGAAAAACTGCACCTGTGGGGTTCCTCGGCGGCGATACTGAAACTGTATATCCCATAGAAGTAATTGCTTCCTCGACACGCTGAAGTGCATCCTCACAATCCAACGTCACCAGGCAAATTCCTGTAGAAAAGTTGACAACGCAGTCCTTCACGCCATCTAACCGCCGAACTTGCGATCCAATTTGCGCCGCACATGACGCACATGACATGCCACTGACAACTAGTTTCCGCCCAATGCAGCCCACAGTGCCTGTTGGAGGCCGAATAGCGCAACCTGTTGATCCTTGCAACGTCGCAGAGTATCCCATTCTGCCTATTTCATTCATTAGATCCGTAGCAGTCACCCCTTTAGGATTATGGACAACAGTTGCAGTCATGGTCGCAAAGTTGACCGCTGCCTTCTCCACACCACGCAGGCTTTTCAGGTGAGATTCAACGCGCAAAGCACGATTCAAGCATGGCATTCCTTCAATAAGAAATCGGCTCTCCACAGGGGCGTCATCAGCAACAATATAGCCGAGTGAAGAGATTACCCCGTGAAAAATTCGCTCCAGTCTCTCAGCGGTCCACAGGGTCTTCACGACAATCGTGTCATCTTCAGACCGGATGGAAACGCTGATCACAGTGACGCCAGTAATCGAAAACAAAGCCCTTTCAAGCACATCCTGGGAGGGACGAGGGGATGTTGCATCAACACGAAACTCGTACAGCCGCACACCGCCAGAATCGCCAGTCGTCTCGTGACTCAAGGGTGTCATGAGTATCTCGCACAAAAACACACGCAAAAATAATAAATAAACAAATAAATAAATTACTTAAACTGAAACTAGAAGAGAACTAAGCGGCTACCACCAAAAAAAAAAGAAAAAAGATGAAAGAGCGCATCAAAAGCCCAACGCATAAGTACAAAGGAAAAAAAAAGGGAATAAGAAAAGCAGTCCTGCCCCGTACCCGAAACAAAGCCCAACAAAACATCAACCCCGCATGCTCCACGTAAACCGCTCCAAGTCAATATTACGTGGCTAACATGTACCCTAAAAGAAGAAAAGAAATAATGTCCACATAAAAAACACCAACAAAAAGATATTTTCAGTTGCATCCCGCTGCGTGTCTCCCAGCACTGCCGAACGAGCCGAACGCGTGGAGGGCACAGCGACGTACGCCCAAAGACAAGCCAAAACCAAAACCCAGAAAATGAAGGAAATTTCTTCGCGCGTAACATCAGACCCCTGCCAAAGAAGTCATGAGCCAATTTAATAAAATAAATAGAATATAAAGAATTGGCAAAATAAACAACAACACACACAAAAAAAAACAATCCTATCCATTCCCGGCCACTCAACGAGCAATGTATCATCCTTAAGTACGACCACCAGAAGTCGAATGAATAGAAAAGACAGAAATTTCGCTCCAAAGTATAATCGAGGTAGGGGAAGCCGTCGGCATCCTCTGAGAGCGCATGAAACTCGCCGACAAATGTGGTGTTGGAGGGCACACCGTCGTCCACCACCAGCGACACTGGGGCGATCGGTTCAAGCTCCGCCGCACCGCGCACGGCGACGCGCAGCTGGTCCACCGTTGCACTGGAGGGCACTATGCCCAAGTGAATGGCCATCAGCCGGGCGCTCTACGCGCAACACCGCTCAAACCCGTGCTGCGCCTCTTAGGCGTTGTTCATCCTGGCAGCCGTAGGAGACATTCTTTTGTGTAGTACTTTCTATACTGATACCTTTGAGTTACAAATAAAAGAAAAAGGTGTTAATGCATTCATGTTCTTTATCTGCACTTTTTTTTTTTTTTTTTCGTGCACGGCTAAAAGTAATGTTAGTTTTGTTACAACACGGAGTATTTGTAGATACCTGCTTTGTTTTTGTATTTTTATTGCATCTGGGTGGAAAAGAATATGGCACAAAAAGCTTTTATGCTGCCGTGTGGATTAGTGCTCTTCCATTGTCAGCCGTTAGTTGTAGGAGAAAGTCCATTTCCCCCATGGCCAGGTCTGCCCGTATGCGATACAGTACTTCAGTGCACATGACGGGGTTTAGTAGTTGTCCAGTCGGCAAGCGTCGTTTCCCTGTGATCCATTCATGCAGAAGAAAGATGCGTTTGCGTATTTCAAATGCATGTTTTTCTGTCCTTTCAAGACGTTCTTTGGCTCTAATTAACTGCATGCGTCGTGCTTCCCGTGCGCTCTGACGCTCCTCTCGTCGATGTTGAACTTCCTGCTTCTCTTGTAAAGTATATTCCTTTATTTTTTCATCAACGGAACGTTGAAGCTGCAATGCCGCAAGAGTGAAAGCCATTTGCAGATAACGCAAGAAGAACGCGGAGACGTAATTATACTGAATCCAACGCGGCAAGATTTGCATCAAGGAAGAAGAGAGAGAGGAAAGGGAATTGGAGGCTTCACCCTCAGCAATGGCCCCCATCACTCTCTGAAGTCGGCTGGTCAAAACCTCCACGTTTGCGGAACATGAGACTATAAGTGAACACAGCGCAGTAATGTCCACTGGCGGGAGGCAATGGAAAGAGGAAAAGGGGTTTGTCTGGAGTGCACCTTCCTCGGTGCATGCAGGTGTTCCTTCTGTCAGCAATTGTTGAAGCCTGTGCCGTAATGCGGTGGTGCGTGAGGTCGCTTCCCTGAGTTTTTGCGTGGCAATGCGCATCCACTTCTCTCTTAGGAGGCACTGCGAGCTCTTCTCCACAAGAGAAATTCGCTCAAGTTGAAGTTCCTTCAGACGGAGGAGATGGGCAGTTAACTGTTGCTCCCACAACTCATGGGGC